TCACTGCCTTTCCTACACAAAGTTGTTTGCGAGGTAAACCGGTGGGAGTTTCTCGCCAGCTGTACATCTAACATTCGTTCACCCTTTATCTTTCATTCGCAGCTTTCCTGCAATTTTCCTAGAAGCCCAGGCACTCCAGTAGTTTCAGCCGCAAGCGCAGACCTGATTTATAGCCACGGAAGCCACATAAATAAAGATTCATAGCTAAGCAACAGAGGCATTAGTTTTTGGTTTTGTAAAAGTTCCGCCCTCCTTGCAAATTTCTTTGTTTCCGTCTTTGTGAAGGGAAGAGCACTCAAAATGTTTGTTCTACGTTGTATCTTTGTAGTTTGTGTGTTCTACATTCCTCTCCGTTTCTGTAAATACACAGCTGCAAGCACTATCTAGCACCATACTATTCCCGAACAACAGTATTTCTAGTAGCTAAATAAATGATCATAACTTGCAGGACCTCATTCCGCAGTCTCAGTGTGTGACTGATCCGCGAACACGAACCCACTTGAGTTCAAATAAGTCTTCTGCATATTTTCTACACCAATTTATCCTTATCACAGTGGCGGCCCTATTTCCCCCAGAAGAAGGAAAGACGATAAAACGCTTCGCATCAAAAGTAGTACCGCTACGCCTACTGAAGAAGTGTTTGATTTCTGAAAACTTTTGGGAAGCTTTTCAAACGAATTGCAAGCTCACATTCCTAATTTTCAAGAAGTTTTTGGCAAAGCCAATTTGTATTCGTTGAAGTCCATAAATGACAATCAGATGATATTCAGATGAATGCATTTGCCTCATTTATAGCACCAAATCACTATATAAAATTCTGCGACTAGTTCACAGGAATAGAGAAGCCTCCTACCTTCCCCTCGATCCGCTACCGTTACGACTCAAAGGCAAGAAGCTTAACTACAGCTTCTTGTATTATATTGCCTGCATCGATGGATCATCTGTTCCGTAGCCTATGGAAGCCTCAACTCTAAGATTTTTCCACAATCGACATTTGCTTCAGCTAAAAATGAAAGTATGATGCAGTCATATTGCTTGTGAACTTGTTCTAGGTAATTAGCTACAAGAACCGACTTCCAAAAACTCGCTTAAAGGCAGTATCTCACCAGATTTAGAGTAAACCAGATTTTCACGAAGTTTATAGGAGTACGCCCTTACTAGGCCAATGCCCAAGTACCACTCTATAAGGCCTTTCCTACATCGAGAAAATTCGGCTCAAAGTGGCTCGCGGAGCGCATTTCGGCTCGCGCTGGACGAATTCTCCGTTCCTCTATCGCGTTTCAACACGTCTTTCCAGGCGACGCCATCTTTCTTGACGTGTTCATTTGTGGCCAGAACTGGAGTGAAGCGGGAAAGCTCGTCCGCGTCGATTCTAAAGGGGTTTTGAAACACGGGGTTTCCGGGGTTTTTGCGCAAATTAGAGCCCGGTTAGAGTTACACAAGGTCGAGAAGACTTGTGATTTGCAAAAATCCCGAGATCCAAATTCTAGTGAGACACTGCCTTTAACTTTGCTTGAAAACCGTTCAAAAGCATGTCTTAAGCGGAGGTTTCTACCAGCTGTCCGTGCAGGTGGAGCATATCGGAGACATATAGTCCCCTATCCCGGTAGGTGCACTTCACTGAAAGCCACTGCTATTCTCCCAATCACTGGCAGAATCTAGTGATTCATTGGAAGGTACAGAATGCTATGTTTGGAAGGAAGATGCATGCGATTCGATCAACTTTCATAGCTGGGTAGAGACATATTGCTGCTGGTTCTAGCGCGTGATGCATCGTGTAAGAGTCGATAGAGAAGCAGTTCAAACTCCTGTTAGTGGAAGTAAAAAGGAGAGATGCCTTGATTAGTAACAATAAATTTGCGCAATAATTGAAGCTTTGAGGAAGATAGTTGCAAGTCCATTTGCACTGCGGCTTAGTAATTCTGAATTTTCAAAAAAAATCGCTTGCATTTCGAGATTCGGCATCTGGAACCAAATAATGGCGGGCATAAATGGGTAAGGGCAAACGATAAATTACATTCTGAATGGTATGGGAAACGGCAGCTGTTCCTTAGTGGCCCGCTCCAAAAAATAATGAAAACGGCTCAGATGAGAAAAAGTAACAATTTTCCTATTACATTCTAGTGAATGATATGTGGACCATGATCCCTTGCAAGAAGTACCTCGGAGGTGGAGGGCCTGAATGTAAAAAAAGAAAAACAAGAGAGACTCCGTCCTCAAGTGAATGATTCGTCATTTTACTACTGCCTTTCAACACTATTTTGCAAAAGTTATTGTAAAATACTCATGAAATGCAAAATAAATCACTACTTCCGATCACTGAGTTTTAGTAGATATCTATAAGTCTTATAAAATCGTGTCAACGAATGACTGACTGCGTTCTTTGCGCTCACAGGAGCACAAAACACTCGTACGGAAAGGCATCACCTCAACGCTCAACTCAGTCATTTCCAGCATCCAAATACTATCACACATAAACAAAAACACCATTCGAGTAGAGGTGAAAACCAAGAAAATGCGGTTGCCGGAAGTGCGTGCGTGTCGCGCGCGGTCGCGCCATCGTCACGATTTTTCGAATGCCCTATATGCATCTGCGCAGTATGCGTGTCCAGTTCCGCTTCGAATTAAGATGCTAAGGTGAAACCATTCATTAGAATCCTACGACGTAGGATACTTCTGTCTGTGCCGGCTATGTTTAGAATTGCAATTTTTCCGCTTTTCCGCTACCTATTCGCTTCTCTAGTGTGCTACTAAGATAGAGTTCCCGTGCCTTGAACACCTCTTGCGACTGTCGCGAGAAACTATAAACGCTCGATTTCATCCCAGAGCTTTTCCAACATTTTATGTCTTTTTTCTAGCGGTAAGAGTATATTTTGAGCAAAAGGCCGAAAAAATTGATTGATAACATGCGAAGTAAGGTGCAGGTGGATAGTGGAACGGATTTCGTTATTAGACGCCGCATTCACAGAGTAGTGATCCTCTGGTAAAGGTTACATCATCTTATATATAAAGCTGAATGTCTGTTTTTATGTATGTCTGTCTGTCTGTATGTCTGTCTGTCTGTCTGTCTGTCTGTACGTATGTTCCGAATAGAAAATTCCATTTCTGAACCGATCGGGACCAAACTTGGCACACATACACTTCGGGCCCCGGCGGGTGTCATAGGCTACTTTTCGTCATCGATCGATATCGATTTTATCGATTTTTTGCAAAATTTGAGCTACGGGGCTGGGAGATGGCACAGGGGGGTAATCGAGCATGCTGATCACCCCCCGTGGGGGTGATCAGCATGCTCGATTACACCCCTCTGCCAAATTCCAGCTCCCTAGCTCAAATTTTGCAAAAAATCGATAAAATCGACGATCGATAATGAAAAGTGGACTGTGACACCCGCCGGGGCCAGAAGTGTATGTGTGCCAAGTTTGTCCGGATCGGTTAAGAAATGGAATTTTCTATTCGGAACATACGGCGGAGCCGGGTATGCCAGCTAGTGCTATATAAGGATCAGTAGTTCGCGGAAGGGAGCTTAAAGGACCGGGCATACATCACGCGATTTCAAGCGACGCGACTTGCCAATAATCCAATCGCTTATAACTCGTCGTGAATTGAATTTGAGCACATGGAAATTAGCACATTTCATCACCTCACAAAACTGGAATGCACCCAGCATTTGTGGTCTGCGAGTTTTGAGTTTGGAGAGATCTGGCAAATGACCAAATCACGTGGCGACCGAATGGCGAGAAGTATGTCCAGGACTCTGAAGGTTTCGGGCATACCTCACGTGATCAGCCGCGATGCGACCTGCAATTGGCCAGATGTCCTCGAATGTGGTACTTACACACTACAAATTGATATGTACAGTCTTTTTCAACCCGGAGTAGGCGAAACATTCCAAGTGGAGCAGCGCGTACGCACCGCCGCTGGCTCAGTGAGATAGATTAGAATGAAGAGACGCAGACTGCAAAGCGGCGCGAATCGTTGCGAAGCGGACTCCCGCTAGTCCAATTTCCGCCTAAACTGATTTGAAATCTACTGTATGACCCTCGCAGGTGGTAAAATGCCTTGTCCACTGTACATTCAGAATGCGCTTACGATCAGTTATAAACAATTGGGTGGAAAAAACGCATCGTGGGCGAAATCGCGCGAAGTATGCCTGGGAAATAATGCTGAAATTTGTCTCGTTGCATGGTTGAGGCAAGCACGATCTATAGATTTCACACAGCTGCTAATTAGTATATGTGCTCAGTTGGTAGAGCCACATCAGTTGAAGTTCCTCGCAGCAGCAAAACGGTAAAACGCGGCTCGTCTTCAAGTGTTCAGACGATATTCATTGTTTAATTTTGTACGTAGTATGCAAAACTTCATGACAAAGCGAATAACCTTGTGGCGATCACATTGGAAGCGAATAGCTACGATGATCTACAGGGGTTTTCAACCTGAGTGTCACGGCCGACGTGGTTCACCCCCTCGAGAGCCGCGTCGCATGGGTCTCTCACGTGGTACACTACCGCACCCAGTAACGCGAAGGCCTTAGCGGATGCGGCCTTGTGCCACGTGAGAGACCCATGCGACGCGGCTCTCGAGGGGGTGAACCACGTTGACCGTGACGCTCAGATTGAAAGCCCTGTAGGTACATAGAAACGTGGCAGAAAGCGTGCCCCAATGTAGAGCGGTGCGAGTGCGCAACGTCGCAACACTCTTTCATCCTTTCAAAACAAACTATAATCGTTTTTTTCACTATACTGCTCGCAATGAGCACAACGTTCTCTTCTATTTAGTAATGGGATTGATTCGGTGGTAGAATCTACTTAGCATTCAAAGCTGGAACGGAGCGCTGGAGGAAGCATCGAGATTTGGTCAGAAGTTTTCGATAAGGAAATCACTAGAGACGACACATAACACAATTTGCATTTAAAGAAAATGATTCTGCTTATGAAATTTGGGAAGTCCTATGTGCAAATTCCTGAGGAAGAAACAGCTGAAAAAATTCCACTGAGAATATGGCCCATAAAGAGAACTATCGAGCGTACCGTTCAAACAAAAGCACAAAAGGTCAACGACCTTCGACAATCGAATGCAAAGAAGTGGAAGAAGTGGTGGACGACGAACAGCAGAAACGGGAACGCCGTCCCACTCGTCGTGTTCACCGGTCGAGGACAGACATGACGATCGATACGCCTTCTTAGCATGTCAGTGCATAATGATGCAGTCGTCTGCGCTACCGACGATCTCTATCCGTCAACGCACTTGTTGTTTACTATATCCCTTTAGTTTTCTATACTTCGTTTGTTTTTGGAAATGTAATTTCTTGCTTTCAGCAAAAGAGGGCGTTTTTCTTCTCAACAAGTATGGTTTTTTCATCCTCAAACGTAACTTTTTTTCATATTTAGTTATGAACAGACGGCCAGATCTTTCCTTTCAAGTTTCTTCCTCAATGAGATCTTTTTTCGAATCCAATTTTTACTTGGCCTGGAATTGTTATTGAGAGAAAGAAGGGAGAGAGTTTCTTCTTTTTGCGTATGAGTTTTCATTTATATTTTTGCTTTCGATTCCTTCGGCTACCACTAGGTCCCACTTCATCGAACTTCCCTTCTGAATCGTTGTGATCTTTCTTTTTTATTTCTCTTCACTTCCGTACTATTCTTTTAGCTAGTTTTATATTTTCGACTCCCACTGAACTTCCTTACTCAACCCTTACATCTTTCTCTTCTTAAATTCTCATTTCAGTGGCTTCCTTGTATTCATTTTGCTCAAACGGGCTTGATTTTTGTAAATTTTATAAATCAGCTTCTTGTCCTCCCACACTAGAATTCAGACGCCTTTTCAGACTGAATTCATGACCATGTCATTGAATATTCCTTCCTTGTTGCGCCTTCAAATTGAACAACAGACGAATTGATTGATGCAAGAATCTGGTTTAGTCGCACAACATGTCAATCTAGAAACCTCATTCTTCGATTCCGCAATTCCAATTTTTCATCATGTTTGTCATGGAAACATTTTTTGGGTGCTACATATTATGTTGTGAAATGCGAAACCATAAAAGCAGTCCGAAGCAAAATTTCGTTTCGTTGTATTCTACATTTTCTTTGTTTGGCTCACTGAATAATTTATGAGATCTCGATGACTTGAAATTTTAAAAATCTTGATCTATAAGCGCTTTTTAACAACAAGGACATTTGTTACCGGACTGTCTGTAATCAGGTTTCAGTAATCAGCATTTTTGTATGCTGCTACGCCACAAATGTCGAGTACCTCCTTCGTCAAGCCGCCCTGCTAATTCTCCCCCCTAATTTCCTGCCCCCATAGCTGGAAATAGGTCGCAACACGTCATTCGATACTGGCGCTTGCGCTATAGCTGCTCTTTGACCGGACTGCATGTCCACTGCGAATCCATCAATCTTTTCTCAACTTTTAACTTCTTGCATGACGACTTTTTGTCGCTGTAGATTCATTCATATTCATTGATTTGGTTTTGTCATTGCCGAAGTTTTTGATATCTTTCTTGCATAATGATATTCTAGTTTTTTATTTGCAGGATGCGCTTGGGTGAAGATCCAGGAATCCTATCATCGGCAACATCGACAACGTCATATGGTGGCATAGTAAATGAGTTGTTCGATGGAAACGTTATCTCCACTCAGGTGACTCAACAATTTCCAGCATTCACTTTTCTTTGTCTCTCGCTGAAGTCGCTGGTATTAATTTTTAATACTGCTTTTGCCAGTGATTAGCTATCTTTTATTTTCTTGACCTTGCCGTTGACCAATGATTGATGTTCCTGAAATATTGGGGTTTCTTACGGGAAAAATGTCGATGAATCGAATACACCTGGCGCAGTCCTTTCGGGCACATTTTTCGACGAAAGCTTAATTTTTACCTTGAGCTACCATGTTGGGATCAAGGCAAGGCTTTCGACCTCAATTTGGTATACTTTTGATACAATAGTAACTGTGAAGTAAACTTTTTTTATGACTAGAACCTAAAACGCTTCTGCTTTTTTTAATATCTGATTTTTTATCTCGCCGCAGCTGTTTATTGAAATGGATAGCTATTTCCAGCCAACAACCAGCAATGGAAATCCAATAGCAAGTGGAGAAAAGCAGAAGGGATTTGACGATAAGCCACTTATTTTTGGTGAGTTTGAGCCGCTTCTATCTTCTCTTCTTTACCTTTCTTCTGCTATCCCTTATCAGTTGGAAAGATAATGTTCGTTGCGCAGTTTAACTAGCGTTTATCAAACGGTTGTAACTCAGTTACTGCGAATCGTAGGCGTTTTTTACTTTTCTACTATTTTCCTCAGTTTTTTTCTTTCATCGTAACAATGGTTACCTATCATTGCGTTGTCCCTATGTTCTTGTCGATTTACTTGCTCATCGAACAGAAACGTTTAGAAGACTCATTCAAGACATTTCCGTCTATTTTGAGTCAAATTTGCTGCAAAAGTTGACTTTTTGTAATGCGCGACTACGCTCGGCATTGAAATGACCTCATTCAAATGTGACGTGATATTGATTTGAAATGCATGATAATACACTTGAATTTGGATAACCCCGAATGTACTCAAAAGTACATGGCCAAAGCTGACTAATCCTCCAGCGGTGCTTACATGCGGTTGCTAGGAACGTTTGTTATGTCGTCAGGTGACGGCCATAGCGCAGTTAGGGCAGTATCTACGTAAACGCCAGCTAGTTACTAGTATGTAATGGTTTATGGAATCCTTACTATTGTTATTTCAATGCTTTGGAATTTGCCTCTCTGCGTAGCACGTCCACAAGCTCCATGTATGAGGTGATATCGATTTTTTGAGCTTTTGGTGATATCAGCGATTATAGACTCACGTTTCAGTTAGTTTTGTCAGTTGCTGCGATGTGGCATTTGATGCCGTTCACGTTCTAATCTACAGACTCAACAAAAATTTCATGAATTTTTCCGCCTGTTCTTCCATTAAAATGGAAGTGCCATAGCTCCAGTTTCGCTTGATTTTATCATATCCATTTCCTGGAGTATTTTGCTATTTTTTGCTTTCAAAAAGCATAATTACGACGACCGCAGCATAATTCCTTTGCAAGAATACTTACTAGCTTTTGTACATCAAGAACATTAAGCGGTGCAGGTCCATTAACATTGAGACCCAGGCTCTGCTACTCAGCCGATAATGACTTCCACAAGAAATCCGATAACAACCAAGCTACAATTTGTTTGGTTCTTTGGTTCCTGCAGTTGATTGCGAAGTTGAACATATTGCATCATCATCAGTGTGCTATCTTGTACTAAGGTTTCCGAAAAATGATTATCTTGCTGCTGACCAGTCTCATTAGTGACTAATGATAGCGTTGTTTGCTTACACAATCTCATTTGAAGGAATCTAGATACGAAGATATCGATTTTGATATCTTCTACGGGAATCTCTTCTTGCTTAGTTCATTATTCGATTTGCTTTCACCACTCAAATGTGCTCCTAGTTTTGAAAGAAAATAGTGCAATGATAGATGAAATTTTTCGTCAAAAGATGCTTCACAATATCAACAAAACTCACTTTTAAATGTTACTGTTTGAAAAAGGTAAGAGAGAAGGGAAATTCTGTGCGCAAAGCCAATGCTCTTGTATTAATTTTGAAATGAAGCATGGATTTTATTCTAGAAATCTGCTGCTCATTTGTAGAATTTTTAGCATATAGCATATTGTTCTATGCGTTTCTGATGCATATCAACTAAATTCTAGTGTTTTTGAAATTCTCGCATGAGCGAAGGGGTTGCCTATATGCTGGCATTTCTCATTTGTTTGCATAACGCCACGTCGTGTGCTTATGGCTGCTTCGGCTCTATTTTTCGGTGACTGAGTGACAGGTGTGAACTATCGCCTTTGCCTCGGCAGCGATTACTTTTGCATCGTTGTTGATTTCGGAGAAAAAGTCTTGTCGATATCTATTTGATCAGAGATATTTGCGTTGCACTTTTCATTATGTTAATTCTGAAAAATTCGGCTGCTTCTCATTCGCATTTGAAAGTGCAGCTCGCATAATAATCGCATTTTGATTCAATGTCACTCTCTTCTGACCTTTTGCGTTTGCTGCTACTCCCTCCCCCACATTTTCTCCGCTTCTAGACAGAGTGAAATTCCAATAACACAGTGTCGCCGTGTGGGTGTCATCGCTTTTGATAGTTTCGTTCTTGACACAGGAAAATTATTCCTAGAATCATTTAGAATTGAGCCCACTGAAGTCCGTTATTTCTCAATCTATTATTCAACAAAACAATTTCTGGATTTTTTGTAATGACGTGGCCAATCCGCATAAATTGATAAGAGGGCGCCATGTACACAAGTAATGAATCATCCAGTCCTTATGTGATGTCACCATCACTGCAAAATCATACAGGTAATTTGCATCTTGTGGAGAGAGGTAATCTAGTTACTGCCTATATCCTTATCCGTGTTTTTCAGAAGACGGTATCACGCACGAGAACAGTATAGCAAATGGAGGTTCGTCACCAAGTAAGTGATGTTTTGATCAATTCTTTTTTTTTCGTTCGGACAACCATCAGTCTCATCTATTTTGTCGTTACATGCAGTCATGATTTTTGGCATAGTCTGACAAGGGAAAACGCGAAGTCGAAAATGGATTTTTACAGAAATATATACCAATCTGAAGAGCCAATCATTAAACGCTGACTCCAAAGCCGTCTTTATTATCTGCCAAGCACCTGACGCTGAGTTATGAGCTTTGTTTTCAAAAATTGAATGTGCAACTGGTACAGATTGGCGCAAGATGGCCCAGCGATGGGTTAGAGCATCTATGGAAAACTTCTTGTCTAATAAACTCGTACTCTACACTTTTATTATTATATTAGTATTTGAGCGCTAGAAAGACCGGAACCCTTGATTTTACCTGGATTTTGTGTCAATTTTCGCACCAAAAACACTTGTAACTTATCGTCTAGAGGTGCTTGGCAAAGAGCAAAGACAATTCGGAATTTTTGTTTGATGTTGTTCACATTGGTCTCTATCTCATTTGGGAAGCCGATTTCGACTTCGGGTCCTCCTTAGTGTGCTGAAAAGTGTTACTCTCTCATTACTGCCGCAGCAGGTAATCGTGACTGAAGTTCTAAGAGTAACTATTGTAAACAGTTACTCGTGAGTTCGTTACATAGTTTTGCAGAATCCTGTAGACAGACTTCTTTCTCCTTTTTTTGCAAATTAGCCTTAAGGGATCGTTCAGACTGCGCCGGTACCCGTCCAAACCCGCCCGAATACGTCCGAATCCGCCCAAATACGTCCAAACCCGCCCAAATACGTCCGAATACGCCCGAACCCGCCTGAACGCCGGAACTGCCAAAGCGCAGCGGCTATGCGGCAAATTGACATATTGGAGCACGCATGGGATTGATCCTTGTGAAATCGGAGTAGTTGCAAAAGATCAGTATGTAACGTCGAGCTTCGTGTGACTAAGTTATATGCACGAGGCACGCAGTATTCTGCGCGTGCTCCAATATGCCAATTTGCCGCATACCCGCTGCACTTTGGCAGTTCCGGCGTTCGGGCGGGTTCGGACGTATTTGGGCGGGTTTGGACGTATTTGGGCGGATTTGGACGTATTCGGGCGGATTCGGACGTATTCGGGCGGGTTTGGACGGGTACCGGCGCGGTCTGAACGATCCCTAAGTTATTCAACCAATTGATTGATTGCTGAATGGCATAAATTTTCTGCCGAAACTTCCCAGCAGTTGCTCACATTATTTGCATATATCAAGCTGTTCCACACTTAGTGAGATGTGTTCTCTCATAACGAATGTTTTCTAGGTATTGAGTTCTCACAATCACGACCGAATGGACTATCAACAATATCCGGCGTTTTCGCGCCAGTGGCCTTGTCCATGTTCAGTGTTTTACTATTCATGAGAATGGGTAGGCAAGTTTCGAATTTCTTCTAAATTATGCTCAGTCATATCGTTACAGGATTTGTCGTAGGACAGTTAGGATTCCTCATGACAGTAGTACAATTAGCAATGGCCTATGCAATTGTCATGCTAACGGTACTCTCCCTTTGCGCAATCTCATCAAATGGAGCTGTTGAAGGAGGAGGAGTTTACTGTAAGTCTTGTCTTTTATGGCTATTCAGCAATGGTATTAGTGTTTTTGCAGATATGATCAGTAGATCTTTGGGGCCAGAATTTGGTGGAGCTATAGGAGTTTTGTTTTTCGTGGCAAATGTTTTTTCATGCGCTTTGTATATCTCTGGATTTACGGAAGCCTTACTAAATAATCTCGGCAATGGACGTAAGTGCTTCTTTTTGTCTGTCTATCACCTCTTAATCGAAGATTCTTCCTTTTCAGAATTTCCTGACTCTCCTATGTGGAGGTTCCTTTACTGTGTACTTGTATCTGTTGCTTTACTAATCTTGAGTCTTCTTGGAGCTGGTATCTTTGCTAAAACCGCCTTAGTTACCTTTATCTTGATTTCGGTGAGTTTTTTATATCGTTCTTTTACATCTATAAAACGGTTATCTTTGAGATTTGCTATTCTACCTGGATAATTTCTGTAATTGTGGATGGACCAATGCAAGTACCTATCCCCAAAGTGAATACTCCTGCTTATCGTGTGCATGAAAACGCATCCGATCCGAATAGCCCTATGATTGTGATGTTGAACCAGACGCTGACTGCAAACTATACCGGATTTAGGTTAGCTGTCGTTGCTACTTGAATTCTTTGCCCATTCTAATCTTGCACACTGCATTCGAAGTCTTGAAAATATCCGCAATCAGTACTATTGTGTGTCAGAAATTTTTTCCGTACACATTTGTTTTAGTTTCTCTACCCTTCGTGAAAACTTGTTTACTAACTATACAATGGATTATACCACCGAAAGGCAAACGGATTTTGCGCTCATGTTTGCTATTATCTTTTCTGGAGTAACCGGTAAGTAAAATACTTCGGATTAGCCTATTTCGTATAGTGTTAATCGTCTTGCTTGTGACCACCTTTGCTTTGCTTTTGCTTTCTATCACTTGGTACATTCTGCCTTGGTCCAAAGTTTCTTCCAGGTCTAATGGCTGGAGCAAACATGTCCGGTGAGCTGGCTCGTCCTTCCGTTTCCATTCCTCGCGGAACAGTTCAAGCAGTACTGACAACGCTTCTCGTGTACATAATGACAGCTTTTTTGATGGCAGCTACGTCAAGCCGACACCTCCTGCAGAACGACTATACAGTGAGCAGGCCATTTCCTCCGTAAAAACACAAATAAGCATACAAAATCTTCCTGATAGGTAATGATGGATACAAACTTTCAACGATGGTTCATCCTAATTGGAGTCTTCTCTACTACATTATTTTCGTCCATGAGTAATCTGATTGGTACGTCGTTGAGTTTTGGTCGATTAACTGTGATCGGTCATGGTGCTTGATTATCTGATATTTAGGTTCTTCGCGTGTTCTTAATCGCCTTTCTCATGATAAGCTGTTTGGTTGTTTGTTGAGGCCCGCTAAGATTGAAATTGGGGATAGAAATCCTATAGTATCTGTCATAATAACATGGCTTTGTGTGGTGGTAAGGCGTTAACTGTATCACTATGCTTACTACACGTTACCATTTCATGTGTTCAGAGTGTATTCCTGATTGGTGCGATGAACAAAATTGCCAAGCTGACTTCCATCTTCTTCCTTCTATCTTATATGGGAGTGAACATTGCCTGCCTAGCACTCGAACTCACCAGCGCACCCAACTTCAGGTATTATTTTTCCCCGTTGTTTCTATCTTGCGTCCTTAAATCCAGTTTTTTCTTCCAGACCAACTTTCAAATTCTTCACTTGGTGGACATGTGCGCTTGGTGTAGTATGTACTACCACGATGATGTTAGTGGTGGACGCATCCATGAGCGCCATCGGCGTTGTTGTACTTATGAGTCTTATCATGGTCCTTCATTATCAGGTAACTTTCCTTACTTTTTCTATCCGTGTGTGGTACTGCTGTCTTAAGAGTCGTTTTAAACACCGACATGATTTTCATCTGTCCACTTCAGGCACCCACAGTCTCATCCGGATCCATCAGTCAAGCTCTAATCTACCATCAAGTAAGAAAATATTTGCTTTTGCTCGACGTGAGAAAGGAACATGTCAAGTAAGGTTTTTCTCAAATTCATCTCGCTAATAATCGGCTCCTCTAAGCTAGGCTGCTTTAGATACTGGCGTCCACAAATTCTTTTACTTGTCTCGAGACCGTCGTCATCTTGTCCGTTAATGGATTTTGTCAATGACTTGAAGAAATCTGGTTTATATGTCATCGGACATGTCCGCAAAGGTGACTTTGACTGTAATGAAGCTGTGGATCCTCTCCAACAGGTGCGTGTTCTTTTTCACGCATTGTGATTTTTTGCTAAACTATTTGTATAGGTGTTTCCATATTGGTTATCATTGGTGGACTATCTGAAGCTGAAGGCTTTTGTTGAACTTACTCTTTCGACCAGCATCAGGCAAGGAATCCAACAGGTACTCTGAAATTCTGTGTTTGTTGTCAGTTTACCTCTGGTGTAGTTCATCTTTCCTGACTGCTATTACGATATGTATTCAGCTGATGCGTCTATCTGGTCTTGGTGCAATGAAACCGAATACTGTTGTGATAGGGTTTCACGAAGCTACGCCGCTCGACGCAACTTTGCAGGTTTGCATGTTATAAGCTCATAAACTGTAAGTAAAAACTTGATAGTTTCTAGGAGTCGCAGCTGCTCAAGGATTTGCGCTATTCTAAAATCGACCGAGCAGCTGTTGTGGAATATTTCACAGCTGGAGATTACATGCCTAAGGTAGGACGCTTACTCTGAATCGTATCGTGGGCAAAATTGCAAGATATTTTTGGCATTAGATGATGCGGGCAGTAATCTTGGGAAATTTTTTTGTTGTCGGTATTGGCTTTATAAGGAGAATGATGTCTTTCACTGCATGCTTCATTTACTTTCTATGAATTTTGCACAAGTTGCGTATTGTTATCACAACTGTAGTAGCATTTTCAAGCATCTTTATGCTAACCTTTTTGTAACTGCTAGCCACATAAGTAATTCCGATATTTATTTGTACAAGATTATCTAAAGATGTTTGTGTGCTAGCAGAAAGTATGATTTCTGCTCATTTCAGGAACTTAATGGCGAATTGGAACGACTTACTCCGATAGATTACGTCAATGTACTGAAGGATGTGCTACATATGACGAAAAGCTTGTGCGTTGCGCGACATTTCCACAGATTAGACAAGGTTAGTTCGCTGAGTTTTTGTTCGAAGTAATATCTGAGTCTAATAGTCCGTTATATGTTCTCAGGAAGCACTTCAGCGTGGCTGGAACCTGAAGAGATACATAGATGTTTGGCCAGTTGATTTACAAAGACCTGTAGAGACTGGACTAGGATGGGACAATAGGTGAGGGCTGATTGCTCTGCATATCTGTTTATATGTTATGTGATTTTTTTCTCTTTACGACTGTTGTATTGAGCATTTCAGCTCTCTGTTCCTACTGCAGTTAGCCTGCATTTTGTCTATGTCCTCGCGATGGAGGTCGCATTCTCGTCTTCGAGTTTTCATTTGTGTGAATAGTCTCCAGGTAAATTTGTGGATCTTCTTTCGCTCTGTCGTACACCAAGTAACATAGGATATGCAACGACGAGATCGACAGCTAAAGCAAATGCTTGACTGGTTGCGTATCAAGGCTGAATCTGTGGTCGTACCATGGGATCATGTGGTATGCCATTTCCCACCAAGTGGAGCACATCAGAATACGCAGAGGTAAGACATTGACGAAAATTCTCAAGTTTTGTTAGGTCACTGAAAGTTTTCCAAGATATTCTTAAGTTTATTTAGAATTCAGAGTTTTTTTCAAATCTATTGCTTAGCCATTACTATTTTTAGACCTACTGTGGACTTGCCTGCGGCATATTTAACAGCATTCAATGATATGATTAAACGATATAGTGAGGAAGCTGCGATCACCTTACTCAACCTTCCTTTACCTCCAGATGACGTGAATGCGAACGCAGATAGGTGAGTTCAAATAAACGTTGTGCTATTGTTCTCCTATTTACTATCTATAAATTTTTTTTCCAAAATCTTCAGTAACACAAGAGTACTGCACAGTAATCATAACTCTATCTGTCCCGGGGTAAGGTGCCTCCATAGGGTTTCTTGGAGAGTGTGAGTAGATGTAAATAACGGTGGCAAACCTATACCTTCTTAGAGATGTCTATATTAATAGCAGGATGAAATCCTGCTATTATTTACATTATCGTTCTTGGGGATCTGTATTCTGCGTTAGAGATTACGTAAATAAGTACAGTGTTTTGAACATTTCTTTACTTCAGATACCTGGATCAAATCCGACGTCTAACCGACGCACTTCCTCCCACACTCATGGTCCATGGAGTGTCGTCAGTCATTTCTACATCACTCTGAGTCTCCCACGTTTGTTCTTTGATCATACTGTTTTCTCTGGTTTTTGTACGTTTCTACTTACATATGGTTACTCCCTCTTTTATCCTTCTAGTGCTTCTACACTCGAGCTCGTAGGCTAATTTCCTCAAAGGTGCTACTGCAATGCCCCGGAAAAATTACCCAAGAAAATCTTTTGCTAGAATTTTAACTATACTTCTTATTGGTGAAACTCGATTATTTGCAGTTACAAAGATTTAACCTAATTTATAGGCATTTGTTGCCTGCCGCAATGATACGCATGCTTGTACACTCACTCTGGCCTTCTTTCATTTGGTGCACTTTCTTTAGATTTTTCTTTTCTATGCATGTTCCTATTCGTTTTTAGCGTTTATACTTTTCGCCCAGATGTGAAGCATCAATTTGGCTGGAAAATTTTTCACATATTGTCTCCGCGGGATGCCCAGTTCATTGTATCAATGTGTTTGATACCATTTCTGTGATCGATTATGGTTGTAGTAATAACATGCAGGATATCGCAAGAACTGAATGTTTCATTTGCACAAGATTACGCAAATCGATGGTCCAGTACTAGTGGAATTACTTAGCCACTATAAAATGCAATGCTAAGACAGATGGTTGCGCTTTCTTGCACCATCTTAGACTCATGCAGCTTTGATCAAAACTCTTCACGAATATTTTATCGTTGTTTAAAAAGTGATATGTTAATAACAGCTTGAAGGTGAATAGTTTCTGTTTTGGAAAGACAATGTGAAATAAGGAATATGAGGTGGAGAACATACTTCTAAGGCCACGCCCACGGTGCAGAACCAATGTCACGCTGATGTCCGTTTCCAAACCCAAAACTTTGCCCACCGCTTCGCCCGGATCCGCCGAAAGCTAAGTCAAAATCTCGGCGAATCCCTAGTCCTCCGACGGGGGTTTGAACACCAAGACCCGTTGCGATGTTGACGTTACCGAGACCTTAGTAAGTTTAAGAAAATACACAAAAGTTTTTAGTCCCCAAGAGTTGTTAGATGGCTCACCTGGGCCGAAACCAGGACCAGAATCTGGAGTGATCCCCGTTCCGGCTTCTCCCTTTTCATAATTCTGCCATCTTGCAAACTCTGCAGCACTTGGAGAGGCTAAATGAGGCGCAGATGGTAGGAAGTTGCTAAAATTGAGTACACATCTTAACACAAAAGAATGGTGGAGAACATACCCTGGACTTTCTTTCTCATGTTGTGATTTTTGTGGCCGGCAATGCTGAGGATTTATTTGGCAGACCAACTCGGTGAGACTCTTTGCGCCAGTTCCTGCAATCAACGAAAACACTTTGGTTATCCATAAATGAGACTTATTACCGTTGGTCAGAGTTGACAAAAGAAGTACCACCTCAGCCGTTACTGACAGTCCAGGTCTAAGCATTGAGACCGGATTGTTATGACAAATTCTAACGGCTGACCTTGCACCAAAGGATGACGTATGAAGCTACAACGCATCTTACACTTTGATCTTTGTTTATCATATACGTGCCTACAGACTGGGAAACCCAAGTTATGCCAATGTAACAGTTTATTTGCAGATTGCAGATAACCTTTCGATTTTCAAATTGATATGTTTCTTCAGCAAGCGTTAAAAATATTCATGCTTACCATATTTGAGATTTTAGAAATATCTAATGGAATAGATATAGGACACTAGAAATGTTTATTGGAATTATTTCAGGGGACAGCATATCATGCGCTTGATTAACAAACGTATTTACAGCAATAATTCTAAGTCAATTATGTACAGATATCAAATTGGGCAGGACATGAGCGGAAACTTGAGCACGAACAAAGAAATTTTTAAGTACCGTATTGTTCAAATTGTTGCATAGACCCGACTTTAGTGATAAAAAAGATGAACAGTCTCAAGATACAAAGTCTATATACTACATTGCCTGGATGTTCCACAAGAGAAAAAAGGACTTTCTCTTACTCTGTATCTAGTAATACATCAAACACTAAGAATATGAAAAGCCTTCAATAACATCTGCTGACTGTGTCGCATATTCTTTGCTTCCAATACAGATCAAACAAATCGAAGATCAGAGAAAATAAGTGGCATATCGCCTTGCCATCGAGCCGCTAGCTGAAACAAGATACCACTCCATGGTTGCTGCAATGATGAAATAAAGGCACAAACCCTTTTATAACAACTTAAGTCAAGATCAGGCTTCATCCATGCTTCTTGCTTGCGTTCTCCCACAATCATCGGTGGTAACATCGATCGTTCGGTAATGACAATGTTGAGTACAACTGCTAGGCAGTCGCTCCACAAATTAACCGGTATAGGGGAGATTTGCTCAGTAAGATACCAGCTAAAAAAAGTTCATATAGCCGTCTTGCATGCAAACTCGATTATGTGGAAAAACTCGCCTGTGAAAAATTACCATGGAGAAGAATGCAGCATTGTAGATTTTTCCAAATGATGTATGGGCCTTTTGCCACTGGAATATAGAGATACCAGAATTTTTATGAAAATAATCAAAATTTATCCATGAAAATGGATAAGAATCACAGGTAAACAGGTCTTGTGAAACCTGATCGCTTGCCCGACAAAATAGCGAGGGTAATCTCAAGCACAAAACCTTATCACAGTTTTGTGGGACTATTGCCAAGGATGTTCAAAGAGGTTTAGTTGTCTAGTGTGATCAAAGTTCTGTGAGGAAAAACTGATTTCAGACTTCCTCTACACTTGATTTTGTTTACAAAAGTTAACAAATAATAAAAGATGAAAGACTACAAGAAAGCAATAACATAAGATATACTTCTCATAAGCTCTAAGAAGCTCGATTAGTTCTGGAAGAAAAACTCACATCGAATTCTATCCCATGCACTCCAATAAGTCTATTCGGATTCCTTTCGACATAATCTATGAGAGCGCTCATTTCGGAAAGTGGGGGATTCAGTCGTTCATCAACAAAAAGCACAAAACCGTTGTCACATACTCTTTGCAGAGAAGCAAAGTCGACAGACTTAACAGAAATCGTATAACACCAAAAAATGAGAGACAAAAAAGGCATCATTGGAATATCAGCTGCTGAGTCGATCTTCTACATCATCAGGGAATGAAAAGAAAACCCACCCTATTGTTGATCAGCACAAATTCCAAAGTCGACTTAGTGCCGAAATCTGCTCCAACGGGAGGAACACCACGAGAGTTCGGCCACAGAATAATAATCTAGAAAAGCATCTGTTTCCGTGAAAGAAAAACAGAAACCAATGACAAACCTTGCGAAGAGACTCGATTTTTGCCACATTCAAAACAATCTTCTGTAGCCTAGATGATGGCTTTTCTGAGCCTCTGACGACTACGTTCACCTCATGTACAGACGCTGTCGTACCAATGGGATGGAGATGATTCCACTGCGTGCGTTCTTTAGCCTCTGCTATTCGTATACGCTCCCACACTATCTAGATAGTGGTACTTACTCATGTTACACAAGATGCTAAACGAAAGTTAGACCAAATATTTGTACTCACTTCCAGCGCGGTTATAGCAATCTTTTCAACGCTGCTGAAATATCTCTGATAGATGAAAAACCCCCGCTGCTTCATTTGGTATATCTTTTCAGCTGTGAATGTATAAAGAATGTCAGGCACCTAGAATGAAACCATATCACAAATCTAACTTTGAAAAGACATGTAAATTTTGATATACCAGTAGAACGCTCTCTTCGGGTATCACAACTGCTGCAGCTGACCAGTCAATAACTTCATCAAACGGCAGTACCCAGTCATCGGATAGCACTACAGGTATGCATCCCATCCGCAAGGCTTCAAGGAACCTAAGAGTTGATTTGACTAGAGCAAACTTTAGTAGGACTATACCATAAAACTTCAAAATCGAATGGGACTACCTAAATGAACCCAGCCGTCGTCCTCTTGGAGTAAGACAAAATGTGGAGTTTGCCATCATCGTTTCGTAGTCCCACCTTGATTAGCGAAGCGAACATGACAATAAAGCATAGGATATTACCAACTCACTTATCGTAAGCTTCATTGTCACTCTCACATCGAGCATCTTGGTGTGCCTCAAAACCTTTGATCGATTATATATAAGAAAAAAAACAGATGCGACTGAACAAAAAGCTCACAAAAAGTGTGAAAATGAAGCGAATAACCGCCAACCTGCCAATCGTTGTTATGCTTGCATGTAGTGACCATTGCTACTGTCTCCCCATTATGCAGATGGTGGAGAGAATCACGTGTTTCAGAACCGATGCCTGAAAGCTGGTTGGCAATCTTATAGTGAAGAAAGACGAAGCAAAGCTTCTAATGTGGAGAGAAATCAGTTAGTAGCAAAAGGGTTTAATCCAAGATAACACAAGAGTATAAACAAAAATCACAGTTCATGAGAAATGACAATCCATCAAGTAAGTTTCAAAAGGACCATAACAGAAGCTACTTACCGTAAACATATCGCTTTCCCTTGAAGGACACAATGTACTGGTCCTTTGTCTTGAAAGAGATTTGATTCTAAAAATACCTGTCAAAAAGAGACTAGTAGGATTCACCAAAATTTCAAATGGGCATACCTCTACGGAACTTCTCAATGGATGTTCTTTGTGAAACAATGGGAAGGAGATATCAAAATCGAACCGGAAGTTCTAAAGCATGATAAATAAAATAGCACTTATTGTTATTCTCGACAAACCTGTGAGCTAGGTGATGCGCGAGCAATCATTGCCTTCTTGGTGTCAAAACCGAGATTGTGGTCGGAGTAATCCGGATATGTACCGTGATACAAATTGAATATGATGTGGTTTATACCATCGTTCCAAACATCTGCGGGAAGATTAGAGATGTAACGGTCAACATCGCGAACATAATTTTCGCTATAAAAAGACAAAAAAAAACAATTGCACAGATGATATGAGAGTTTTCTGATCGCAAACCTAATTTTGTCCCTGTCGATGGTATCGACACTGACCACGAAAAGGCAGGCTTCCCGTGCATCGGAAACATAATACCGACTGAAATAAAAGCATAACATGAAGCACTCTACAATGAATGGACACGAATAAATGGTAAAGAAGCCGCTGTTCGAGTAGCCATTTTCAAAATGTTGTGATCTCGATTTTGCTTATTACTCTTGACTATTTAACGCTACCCGCCACTACACCCCTACCACACCCTTCTTTCACAATCTTTGACTCACATAGCGACATGTTATAGAATACGCATCGCAGACCTGCAAATTTTTCGCGAAGGCTAACTAGCATTATTTAGGGTTGTAAGTTTGTTTGTATCTCAGAAAACTCCTTCAAAGGACAATTCGGTAGAAAACTTTTTAATACAGGATAATTCGCACAAAATGGTATCACGGTCGTAAATGACAAACACACCTTCGACTGAATAGAACCTATTAAGCCCTACAGTCTTGCAGTAATTGGTTGTAGTGCACTCGCGGTAAAGACAAGTTGCGTGGAAGCGAGTTCCATACTCGTAAAAATTATCAACCCGCCAATGATTAGCGCTCAAAAAGCCAAGGGTCACGCGCAGATGTTGCCGGAGTCGCAAGAACATTATATTACCGTCGAATGTATTGCATGACAAGTGAGGAGCAGGTCAAAACACTGGATAAGTTAAGTACGAGGGAAAGTAGGAAGCTAAATCGAATATTTATGGAAATCGCACCTTTCTCGAACAGCCGTGAGGATCTTTCTATATGCTTCAGAAGGTACCAAGCCTTCCACATCAGGATAAACATAAACTTTTAGTCCAGATCTGCATTTTGAATAGTCAAAACATGAATGCATAGCGCATTGTGAAGGTCTAAAATAGATTACTTTTCACATAGATAGATTCAAAAAAAACATGTAGTGATGTCCACACAAGATGTACGTTAGCTTACCGAACTTCCGGCACCACCTCTTCTTCCACCTGCGCATATCCTTCAAAAGCTGAGACATCCTCCTTATCGCTCTCTTCTGATGAGAAATCATTGAAAAATAGCAGCAGATACAAAGAGATACCAATGATTAGAAAAATATAGCGGGCAACAGTTCTCATATCTTCAAATCAACATCTGCAAGCAAACAGGTTGTCAAACGATATACTAATCATTCCGAGACTTGAAACCGTTTTCAAGATTATTGATGCTGACCGTTTGGTTAACAATGAACTTTAATATAGAGTGATCAAGAGTGCCTTCATACCCCAACGGCAGCCACCGCTAGCCGCGCGCACTATCGCTGAAGCCGCGCCCCAATATCGAAATGAATTTGCTCAAACTTTTAGTGTGTCGACATGCTGCTTGCGAACAGCACAATCTTTTTACATTTTGGATGGCCTGGGATACTGGGATATCGTTCGTTCGCTTTCACTAGAGTGGACGGACCACTGCAGACATGACATGACATGTAATCGGTCGATAAACCTCCATCCTAGAGCATTGTTTTTTGTACTCTCTCGCCATCCAAAGCCGCCGCGCGTGTACGTAGACAGTGCTCCGCCCACTCTAGCGAAAGCGGAGGGACCGTACATACAGATAAACAGACATACAGACAAACAGACATTCGGCTTTATATATAAGATAAATAACAAAGATCGATGGAAATAGTATTGAACTCCGCCTCTAGTCCTGCAACAAGCAACCAAAACCAGCGTCATATGAAGACCAACAAATGCTTGGCAAGATTGTTTTGAGTCTTCAAGTCTCAGAATGAATGAGAGATATAAACACAGTTAATACAAGAAATTGGAACGTTTCCTCAAAAATGTGGAACACAGCGCAATTTTCAAATTTTCCAACAGTCTCCGCAGAGCACATCAGCTTCCGCTGTCTTCGCGTTTGTTAAAGTTTGTGTGTTTCTTAAAACTAGCTAGGATTAGCATTCTAGCTAGGATTCTTAAAACTAGCTACATCATTACATTTGCTAATGTTTCATACGATCACTCGTGCGAATATGCGGTAAAATCACACAAACTTTTTCAGATTTCAGGAAAAGGAAAATTACATTGCACTTAAATTTGTTTGAATCTGTTTTGAATAACAAAATTCTTTTGTTTACCTTCAAAAACTGCTACCCTTAGTATAAATTGATCTGTAACTCAATCGAAATTGCGTGTGAACCCCAACTGTTGATAGTATTGGGATCGTTCAGACCGCGCCGGTACCCTCCCAAATACGTCCGAATCCGTCCGAATAGGTCCGAATCCGCCCAAATACATCCAAATCCGAAATATGCCGAATACGCGCGAACCCGTCTGAACTCCGGAGCTGCCAAAACTCAGCAGATATGCGTGCAAACTGGCATATTGGAGCACGCGTGGAACACGCGCGCGTGGTGCGTATATCTATTCTAATCACATGTAGCTCGACGCATACCTGGCGCTTTGGTAGTTCCGGCGTTCAGGCGGGTTCGGGCGTACTCAGACGTGTTTAGGCGGGTTTGGGCGGATTCGGGAGGGTACCGGCGCGGTCTGAACACCCCATTTAGGCTTGATACATACCTGGCGCCGAGTGTCTATACGTAGCGGTGGCAGCAACGCATTCAATGCGTATCGATTGCAGCGGAGTGACGCTGCTGCCTCACGCTGCAGCAGCTAACGCAAAAGGTCATGTCCAGACCTAGCGAATAATTTTGAGCAGCGCTGCTCGTGCTGATCAGCGCTGATCACCGCTGCACTAGATTTTGCAGCTGAGTTACGCTTACTTTTTCTGAGCTTATCTCAGCTGCTTCGAGCTGCAAACAGCTGCTTTTGTTTGAATCTACCTATTTTTACCGGTTTTCAAGCTGGAATTAGCGCTTTAAAAGCAAAGTCTGTCTTTCTTGCATGAAAACCATCAGATTAGGATTTTAGAGGCGGGGGAAAACATTGAGATGAACTTTAGGCCCCGGATAGACTTCACGCGATTTGATCGTCGCGACTGAATTGCGACGAGACAACTGTTACAACATCATTCCATGCCGATCAACTTGCATTCCAGTTGTGATACTTTTCCAGTCCGAAATTTTTGAATGTGAAATGAAAATGAATGGAAATGTCGACGATTGAGTCGCGACGATCAAATCGCGTGAAGTCTGTCCGGGGCCTTAGAGACATAAATACTTCATGAAGATGAAGAGATATGAAGTAATAAAAGTCAACTACAGGTTCGCAAAAATTGAAAAACTGACGGTGTTTTTGCACTCAACTAGCACTCAAGAAGCAGCCGACTGCAGCGCTGATCAGCCGAAGCAGCGCTGCCTTTGCTGCTCGTTGCTTTTGTCCATACCTAAGACCCTGGCCAGACCTCGCTCAAAAGCGCCCAAAAGCGCTCAAAAGCGCGTAAAAGCGCGCAAAAGCGCCCGAAAGCGCTCAAAAGCGCGCAAAAGCGCCCAAACTTCTCTAACCTCTCCTCACTCTCTCTCATCTCTCCTCATACGAGAAAGTGAAGAGACACCAGAGAAATTTGGGCGCTTTTGCACGCTTTTGAGTACTTTTGGGCGCTTTTAAGCGCTTTTGAGCGCTTTTGAGCGAAGTCTGGCCAGGGCCTAAGCAGCGAGGTACAGGGCTTTTCAACGTAAGAGTCACAGCCCCCGCTTGTGCGGCTCATCCAACGCGGCCGCCTCGCTCAGGCCGCGCGCGGCGTTGGCGGCGCATCGCCCGGGCATTTTGCCAAGCTTCAGTCGACGCGCAGCCGGTGCATGCGTCGGCGACATCGATTGAGAACTGGCAAAATGCCCGAACGATGCGCCACCAACGCTGCGCGGACCTAAGCGTGGCGGCCGAGCGGGGCGGCTGTGACACTCAGGTTGTAAAGCCCTGTGTGTATCAAGCCTTACAGGGCTCATCATTTGCGTGTCGGGTGCACTAGCATCTCCACTTCCGCGCGGAACTTTGCCCTCTTCCGCAAACATGTTCTTCGATCATATCCAGGTTGATGCTCCTGCTTTCCCACGCTCGCTGCCTGAAGGTGATCAGAGAGCATTGAGCTGGGCCCCAGGGAAAGTTAAGGGAAAAACGGGGGGAAGGGTCTCCAGACTCAAAAAGAAAAAGAACAAAATACAAAGAAAAATCAAGCTAAAAGGTAAGGGTCATTTTGACACCTTTCGAGCTAGTCGTCCTTGCTTCATTGGAGATGGGGCGAATAAAATTGAGCGTCTGTAGCATGAGATTTTTTTTAGCACACTGACAAATATAGTAATGACAAAGAGGATGACCCACATAATATAAATGAACAAAGATGCAAAACATAAATCGGACTGAACAGGAGTAGCAAAATGAATATATGAATTGGTGGAATTCAAGAAATGGTGCCGGAGTTGACATTGACCACAGTCCATGGAACGTTCGCCATCAGCTAATCTTTTTGGCGCGCAATTGGTCAAAGGAGGTGCTGAGGCCGAAGATCAAGTCCGGCCTTAGCACACTCCAGGCGGCGGCTTCGTGCAGTCTCCCTTTCCAAAGTTTCTCTTTCTTCCGGCAGAGAGCAGAGGCTAGTATGATATGCATTGCTCCTGCAATACTTGCAAGGTATGCGATTTCGGCATGGTTCATCGCAGCGTCTCCCAAGGCAGAAAAGACACAATTTTCGAGTCTCTACGCGATTTCTGCGCTCCTCCACTGTTTTGAATTCTAAACATGCGTCCTCCGAATGTGGTGGGTGAGAAAACGCGCACGTGTGAAACTAGCTTGGTTCCGCGGCTTCATTTCCGTTAAGGCGCTTTTCGCACGTGGCTATGTGGCCCAATTTCCAGTACAAAAGTGGCAACTCTGGGGGTACTGGTGATCGCTTTGCAGGCGGACGTGGCACTGCGCCTCTGTTTAGGTTGTCCTTCGGATGGTGTCTTGTCCTGGCGAATTTCCGGTGATTGTTTTTCCCGTTGGTATTGTTCGTCCTTTCGTAGCAACTCTGAGACTTGTGTCACCAGATTTATCGTTTCTTCCAGATTTCAATTTTTGCTCCACGAGTGCGGCAAGTTGTAGCAATTGTTGAGCCGTTTTCTCCTCCGTCTTTTTGGCTCTCTCTTCGATCAGCATTATGTAAAAAGAAAGAGTTGAAGTTGGGTCCCGGAATATCGAGAAAAGGGGGGGGGGGGAGGCACGTACACAATGACCACAAACGAAACTCGAAGGAAAGAATGTTGAAGCGAAAGGTTCAGTCAAAATCTCACCTTTCACCTTGGCTCTTCCTGGCTTCGCTTCATGATCGGACCGAATCTTCGTACCAATGGGAGTTTCGAATGCCACGCGGGGCGCTAGGCACTTCTTCAGTAGTCGAGATTGATAAAGTCACATGGTCACTACATGGTCACTGAACGAATAATATACCAGGAATACCAGGACGGAATCGAGGTAGATGCGGAAATAAACCGCCATCGTACCAGCACCTCAAACTTGGGTAATTAAACCCTTTATTAACAAATAACGAACAACAAAACAGATACGAAGCAAAATTCTAACAATAATCAAACATTAGGTGAATATAATGAGTAGTTTTGGTTTTTAGTTCTAGTATACGTAGTTTTGGCGCGCAATAGATCATAGAGGTGCTGAGGCCGGGGTTCAAGTCCGGCCTCAGCACGCCGCGGGGGGGGGGGAGGGGGCTTCAGTGATGATAGTGGGCGAGCTGTTCCTCGAGGCAGCTTCGCTCCTCCGGTAATGCGCACAAGCTATAGTGATGCGAATTAGCCTTGCAATACTTGCAAGACATCCTGTTGGGGCAAGGTTTTGGGCATGGCTTGCCCAGGCAGAACAGGCAGAGACTGCGGGCACGTACTAGAGATCTTCTTTCTTCGACGGATCTGTGTTCGGTACATCTTCAGCGTGGGAGGCGTAACAGAAGGCACACTTGTGGTGCTGCGATGGCTGGGCGGCTTCCTGTCCATGCTGTCGTTTCTCGCAGTACACGAGGTGATCGAGGCGGCGTTGAATTAGAGCATAATTAGGATCTCCAGGCGAACGTTTGGCTGGTGGGCGAGAACGGTCTTCGCGGCTTGTGTGACTTCAGGAGTGCTGCAACGGTTATATCCTGACGATTGGTTGTCGCTATGCAAAATGGCCCAAGTCTGAGTCATTAGGTCAATCATCGAGTTGACTGTGAGCTCGCTACTTCGTTGATGCTCTCTTCCAAGTGTCGGGATTTTTCTTCTACCAACGCTGTAAGTTGAAGAAATTGCTGTGTAGTTGTCTCTTCGGTTTGTTTTGCCTTTTCCTCAAGGAGCATCGATTTGATCCTGTGTAATTTTCCCAGAATGGATACAATATCCGGAGATCGCTTGGTTGTCGTCGTGTCTTCGATGAGCCTTTGAAGGAGTTTTTCAATGTCATCCAGTTTCGTGTGGATATTCGCGTCTGTAGTTTCGGTTACATATGGATCTGCTTCATCTTCCTCGATGTATGGATTCAAAAATGGATCAATCGTGAGAAATTCCAATGTACATTGAGTGTTCTTGGGTTTGCTTGAGTGGTCGCGAATGATGACTTCCTTGAAAAGATTGGTTCCCTTCCCTTTTGCAGGAATTGCAACACCGCATAACAAAGAGTTTATCAGAAAAAAAAGAAAAAAGAAAACTAATCAACAATTGGGCGAAAGAAAACGATGAGCCGCCCTGAGATCCAAAACTCTGGTGAACTTCGAGAGTGATGCAACGCTTGCACTATGGCTCGCCAGGATGATGAGTGGTCCTGAGGTGAACAAGTCACGCGGCATGTGACAAAATACAAAGCGATACGAAACAATGAAAATCAACTAAAAATATATCATATCGCGAGCATATTATCATCTTCCTCCATTCTTGTATTTCATCCCATCTTTAAGTCGCCCCCAGAGACTCATCGATGGTAGTATTGTCCTCCTTGCTTCAAGTGTGGTGCTTTCGGCGCTTATCATCGGGTCGCGTAAATATTATTATTATATTCGGGTTTCTGCATCGCCTTTCTTCTTTTCGAATCCGGTCCCCTTCATCTCTGGGCAGGGCGTTCTTGTCCTTCTCCTTTCGATCTTGCAGCTTGAAAATAGGTAAGCGCTACGTATTTGACGCTGCCTCGCGGAGTTGCTCCAAAAATGTTAGCGTCTGCCATCAGTGGAATTTATCTCACCCTTACGAGGGCTGACTCCCAGGCAAGTTGCGGGAATCGTGGAATGGCGTCCTCGAGCGGTCCGTAATGGTCGATGACCATGGCGTCAAATCCTCGCGCGGGTCCTGTCGGCATCCTGACGATCGACGCACATCTTGCGGATCTCATCTCATTCACCCTTGCGTGCTTTCTCGAAGGGGGCGGAAAGCAGTCTAGGGTCCCTCCGCATTGCAGATGCCTCGCGACGGCCTGCATGCTGCGTCTCATTCTCAGATAATCGCCGGGGACAGGCGGTCCGCAAACTTGCTGTGCCGACATTGTCGGCACCTTCCTTATATCCTATCATTACCTCTCCTAAGCACCGTAAAGGTCATGCCATAAGCATGACCTGCTGTGATATGAGTGTATTATTGCCCAGATGTTTGTGATACCACTTTACCACGCCTTCAATCCACAGCATTCTACCACAGCACCAACGTGTGCAGGTCGCCTGTCTCAATAAAGCGTAAATGCTTTCGTGTTCTGTATAACACATTCTAACAGGCGCTATTCGCCTAAGGCTACACTAAAGCCAAGGAACCACCGTCACATTTATGGTGCATCGGCTAAATACGTAAGACCGATAAGTGCTTCGCCTCAGCGATTGCACAAAGGTTAGCTAATCTAATCTTGGGACCTAGCGCCCAAAATTCGCTGCCTGCACCTAGCGACAGCCATTCTCCTCCGCATCAGGGACTAAATCTTACCAATTTTTGCTCAAAATTAGCAAACGTCTCAAAAAGCAGCCTATCTTCCTAACAATTTTTGAACATTAAAATGTCTCTAAAATTCTTCAAAGAGGCAATCTCGCTTCACTCAAGAGCATTAGCAAATCTGCTCAAGAAATTTGACTCCTGCAACTTCAAGCTCAAATTCACTTTAGAAATTGATAGAGTGCTTCAAAGGAAATGTTTGGAAAACCTAGATATTCTCCTTTCTTGCCTATCACAAGTTAGAGCAAGAACGACGATTTTGGATTCTATGGTCGACCAATTGGGGAAATTCTATCTCAAGCAGTCTAAAAGCGAGAGAAAAACTATCATACTCCAGCTAGAAGAGCTTAAAAAGGAGCTTGATTTTTACCAATTGCTTTCTGATGCTAGTATTTTTGATATCGCTGTAGAATATCAGATAGTATATGCAAAAACAGACAAAAATTTTGCATCAAGTCAAGTAGTTAAAGAACAGCAATCCAGTCTTTTCAATCATTTTTTACTTGATGCGGAAAAGGAAACGGATGCTCTGGCAATCATAATGGACTCCTCAACGATGGAAGAAGACAAGGAAAGTGAAGAGCGCCTCTGCCAACAGTCCAAGGATTGCACATTCATGACCCGCGGAGATGCCATACCAGCAAAAGATGATATACCGACTTCGCAGGTCACCATGCCTGGAAGCGGTAAACGACGAAGCAATGATGGGATCGACAGGCACCTGATTGGAAACTCGCGACGATGCAAGGAGAATATACTAAGACATCATAATTGTCCATTATACTCTGCTTTAATGCCACTTGCTTCTCTGCAATCTTATGCCAGCTGGCACCAGTGCATTCACCAGCATTCCGCTCCCAATTACCACGCTCCCCAGCTACGTCCATTAAGGTATCCTGATAAATATTCGCTTGGTATTCTTAGTCACAGTGTTTACATTTGTGCTCCTCGTTTCGCTGTTCCTTATTTGTTTCCCCTCGCCGGCGGGAGTGTGCCGACATTGTCGGCACCTTCCTTATATCCTATCATTACCTCTCCTAAGCACCGTAAAGGTCATGCCATAAGCATGACCTGCTGTGATATGAGTGTATTATTGCCCAGATGTTTGTGATACCACTTTACCACGCCTTCAATCCACAGCATTCTACCACAGCACCAACGTGTGCAGGTCGCCTGTCTCAATAAAGCGTAAATGCTTTCGTGTTCTGTATAACACATTCTACCAGGCGCTATTCGCCTGAGGCTACACTAAAGCCAAGGAACCACCGTCACACTTGCGCTTTTCTGCAGGCGGTCAGCAGAATTTTGGGGCGTGGCCAAACCTTCAGCGGGCGGCACTTTCTTTACGGTCGCGTATTCTGCCAGCGGGCAGCAATACAGCATTTTTTGCAAGCGCTCGGCAAATAATTTCTTTCAGCGAGCGCTGGCCAAACTTTCAGCAAGCGCTCGGATCTTTTTAAGCATTTTCGGGCGTACGTCGAGCGAAGGTAAGACTCTTTGTGGCAGAGGTGTCACCGTTGGTTTAATTACTCAAGTTTGAGGTACTTCCTCCCAGTGGAAAGTACCTGGGGATTGCGCGGTCCTCCACAAAGGACCGGGCGGCCCCCGAAATTTTTGCATATTCTTACGGAAAGTCCGCGAGAATGCGGCCACTGCAAGCCGCGATTGTTCTTCAAGCATTCGTCTTTAATTTCGCCAACTTTCTTCCAAATTTTTGCAAGCGGGCGGCAAAAAATCAACGAACTATTTTTCCGGTGCGCGCTTGCTCAAAATTCGCATGGCCGCCTGCCCCCGGCGGTTATCTGAGTTTGGTCCGACCTGGGCATCCTCTCTCCGGCCAAACCCATAGCATCGCGGCGATGATGGATATTTTGTTCAGCTGGTAGGCCATGTCATCGAAATGATTGTAAACGAGTTTGACAGAATCCTTCACGACGAACTATGTACGCACCCGCTCAAACGCCTTCGGCAGTGCTAGGATAATTGAATTTGTCAGCATGTCGTCTCCGTCCAAGTGGCTAAGTTGCTCCTTCCTTGCAAGGGCGGTTGTAATATGCGGATAGATGTAGTTCTGCTTTTGTGCGAAGATGTTCGGGTGGTGGAGTCGCTGACCCTCCTTCTCGCGCAATGCCATCGCAAAGTCATGACAGAAGGAGCGACGAGCTGAGATTGCGCAACTAAGGCCAATGACCGACAAATGGGTAGACTGTTTCTTCCAGCAGCTCGTTTTCTTTCCTCCATTGGCCCGAAGTGGTTTCCATCGCTATGGACGCAACATTCGCAAGTTCAAACAAGTCTTCACTTTCTTCGACCTGGCCAACTGGCATCGGAGTCCGGGTAGTTCCACATGTGCGCGCTCTCCAAAAATACCACAATTGCAGGGATGCAGGAGATGCGGTGGATTCGTTCTCGGGTTCGACTTCGACTCTGAAACAGAAAACTTTAGAACTCGAGACTTTTCTTGGTCTACCTCTTTTTGCTGTGGTTATCGTTACTTTGCCAGGCTCATTCTCGAGACCCCGAGACACTTTCTTAGGTCTACCCCTTCTTGCTCTTCTCCTGGTTGTTTTGATCGGCTCATTATCTATATCTCGGGGCACTTTCCTAAGCTGATCAAACGGTACGCGCTCAGGCTCATCATTCGCGTTAATGCAAACTAAGACGCTATTTTCGCACAGGTCAATCGCTCTAAATGGCCCTGTCTTGTCATTGACCAACTTGGGGTGTTTCGACGAAGCTTTTTCCATGGGCACCTTCATATACACCCTGTCGCCCAAAGTCACGCTCTCTCGTTGACCTTGTTGTTCCTATCGTAGTCCAGCTTCATCCTCTGGGGTGTCCTCTCGTTTTGTGCGCGAGTATGTTCATGTGTTATGCGCATTCCTACCAGAAGCTCGTTCACATAACTATTCGAGTCCACCTTATAAGTTGACACGGTTATCCGTGCAGTCTCTCGGCACGTAAGGGTCAAAACCGTGAAGCAGGAAAAATGGTTACTCACCCGTGGACTGATGCATAGCAAGCATAGTAAAAGTTGGGTTTGGGTTAAGTTTTTGAGTTTTTCTTACTAAGTAAGTTTTTCTTACTTGCGTAGTGAAACCTATGTTGTAACGATTTCAGATTTTTCTGCAGCGCTCCGGATTCATGGCGGCCTAACTAAAAATTAAAGCCTGAATGACCTTTCACATTTTTATCTTTGCGATGAGTGCATAATAGAGGCTCTCGAGAATGTTGCAAAGTGAAAAACTTATTACTTCTAGAAAAATTACAAAGAAGCAAATACATCAAAATAGTAAAAGTTACAAATTTTGAGACGCGAAAAGACATAACTTTTAGGACTACCGCGTATAAGCAGCCGCTCAGCCGGTTCACTGCATCTCGGAAAAAAATCCTTACATCGCACGAATCTCTCAAGCAATATACACCACGTTATAGGGTCCTTTGGTTGTAAAGTCCTTTGGCTTGTCTGGGCTGGTCGATTTTGAAAAAAATCTCCCGCGCCTTAAACGCGTGAATTTAGTGTAATTAGTGCCTGTTATACACGCCATACTTATTACACAGACTATGAGCTAGTTTGTCACCCTACTAGTTATGTCCACGAATTTTTTTTTGTACTTTTGAAAGATTAGCTTTTTTTCTATCGCGAGTAAAATATTAGGTCGTTCCGAAAGTTCTTTCCGTTTTTTCCACCTATTATGAAAAGACGTGAAATGAAGGTAGGGAAACGCTTTGGGCACTATACGACACAGCTTTTCTTCCTCTTTCTCACAGTCATACTCCCATGCTGCTTACTCTTGTGATCACTGAGATCATGGCCGAAATTTCGAACCCATGGTTTTTACCATGTCCAACTTTGGCAATTTTTCACAATCTTCTTTTTTGACTTTTGGGAAAGCTTTGATAACAGCCAGATAGTGTAAACAAAGTGCAATACAATGCAATTTTTTCGCATATCCAGCTGCCTTTTCAGTATTTTTTGAGATAATTTTTCCAAAAGTCTTCACTTTTGCAAAGTCCCAAAATACAGAAACGCCCGAACACCGGCAAATCTACGGATTTTGAAGCTTTCAAAAGTCAGTTACGATTATCCACAATTTTTAGAAAGCAACTGAGCGTTTACCGCTTGGAATTATAAGGTTTCGCATTTTACGTGTACAGGCTGGGGCGTTTTCAAAATCAAGAATTATGGGAACTTTATCGCTAAAGACCCCACACATTGGAAAGAAAATATATTCATTAGAAAGAGAAGGAAAATCTGCATCGAACGATACCTTAGTTGTGCGCCGTCTTATGTTCTATGGCTCTTGGCATCCTCAAAAATGAAATTTGATAGCATCAGGAAAATAATTCTAAAAAATTTTTATAGCTAGCTATGTTTGCCGA